TGCTATTAGGCTATTGCTTTTCCAGTCCGAGATGGTTATTGTTCAATGAAACTACTGTCTCGAGTTGCTTTAGTTTGTTAGTGTCTGCTTCCATGTGTTTCCCGGTGCCTGAAGAACTGGCATAATTTCGGCTGCTTGTGCACAGCTGTTCTCCTGAAAGCCCCGGTGTCAGCTCCTCGCTTGGCGAACACTCTGATCTCGGATCTCCAGCCCAACCAAGCCCTTCTCCAATCCGAGGCGCAGCCATGCAAGCGGACGAACATCACAAGCGCTTGAGTGACGTCAGGGCCCCTGCTTCTGAATCCGAGCGAGAGGTTGCTTGTGGGGAGTGTAAGTGTTCTCGGACTCGCCGCTCTTACCGTCGCCGTAGTAGTCAGCCAAGAATACAGTTCTTGCAATGCGTGTTTGTAGCTGTGCAAATCTTGAACCCCGCCCTGCAGCTAGAAGTGCATGCAACGATGCAGTACTTGGCAACCTCATGGACCTCGAGCCCCCTGTGCACCAGTGAAGCAGACATGCTCGCACAGGGCCTTGACTAGCACGTGTGTAGAGCCGAAGGTTCGTATTTCGATCGTTACTATGTTGAAGTTATTGTTGTTATTAAAGGTTTTAAAGTGTTACGAGTATCATTGCGATTAGTGCCACGACTTCTGCAACTGTTGTTTTCTACTGCTGCTATTACTACAACTCGCATGACTACAGAACCATGCAGCTGAAGCTAGCATACGGGCCTGAATAATTACCAATACTATTTTGGGGGTCCCTTAGTCTATTTTAGTATAATGTACACCCGAAACCTTATTCTAACCATTACGGCCCCTATATTACGGCTGCGAGCACGTTGCAGCTCCACCTGAGCCCGGCAGGAGCGGGAAGGCGCCGATCAAGAGAGGTGCGGGCTGGTTCCACCTATGCCGCCTACAGAGTAGTGAGTCGTAGTAGTGTGTGGTGGTGGTGGTGGTGGTGGTGGTGGTGGTGGTAGTAGCAGTAGCAGTAGCAGTCGCAGTAGCAGTAGCAGTAGCAGCTGGTAATGGTAATAGTGATGGTAGTGACAATAGTCATAGAAGTAGTAACAGTGACAATAGTCATAGAAGTAGTAGTCGTAACAATAGCAAGAACAGTAACCATATTGTGCAACAAGCTACCCAATAAATGCTGAGCAAACAGGCAGCTTCTTCAGCAACAGCTGGAGCATCTGAGGACTAAGATGGACGAGGCCGGAGTTGGATTAACACCTCTGGGTCTTGGAACTGGAGAACTATCTAGGGCTGTTTACTTGAAGCCTCGTAGAGCATAGTGCCGAAGTTAGGCCAGGAGTCGCAACAGCTACAGAAACAACCCGAACAGGCGTGAAGGCTTAATTGGACTCAAGCCCAACCCCTTACCCGAAAACCCTGAGACCCTGTAAATCTTGGAACAGCCTCGCCTAGATTGCCCGAGCTTGGCCCGAAAGCCCCAAGCCCTGCAAGCTCGGACGTCGAGTGTGAGTCGAAACCCTGCAGCCTTCGCCTCAGCTGCCTTAGCTTAGCTTCTCACCGACCAATGGAGGCGACAAGGGACAGCAAGACTGGATGCCGGATAGCGCTGTCCACAGCTCTTTGGGACACTAGCTTAGACATGCCCCGGTCGTCAGGAGGCTACTGAAGTCGATGCACGGGATGCCAACACCCCGGACAAGTGGATCAAGCGTCATCTTGACATGCTGCGCAATGCTCTTGCGCATCCTTTCAACCCACCTCTCAAGAACTTGCACGCAGCTGCGGGAGATGCTGAAGGACTACTACCTAGGCCCATTGAAGGCAGTTTCGACAGAAGCTCAAGCTGCCTTAATTCTACCGAGCTTTATAGCAGAGTGCTGCTTAGCATTCTTTCGTCGCCGCTGTTTGGCCTGAGTGCTCTCCTCACGCCTTTCAGTGGTCTCCGACGAGCGTTCCTCAAGCCTTTCACATGATTGGATCCACGAGAGAGCCAACAGCTTGAGCTTTCAGACATGATCGTGGTGAGCCACGACACCCGAATCTTTCGCTTCAGGCTGCCTGCTCCGTCGATGACATTGGGGCTCCCCACCGGCATGCACTTGACACTGAAAGCCAAGGTGGACGGCAAGCCGGCCAGGCTTGAGACTGATATAGTCTAGATCGCTGTGTGTGTGTGTGTGTATGTGTGTGTATATATATATATGTATATATATACACACCATATTTGTAGACTGCACATATTATATATGTATGTATGTATATATATATATAATGTGTTCAACATGTTGTTTTTTGAGCTAGCATCTTTCAATGGCTATGGTGTCTAGATGTATCAACCTTCCTTCTGGAAACTCCATACACCGACCTACAGTAGCCGCCAACGCTTGTTTTTGAATTAGGCCAGCAAACCTCCCCCAGGTATGGCGTCGTGATCATCGACAACGTCACTCCCTGCGAGGACGCCAGCATGCTCTTGAAGTTCGCCCACAACTGCCTGCCTGGGCGGAGTGCAAAAAGACGCTTCCCGCGAATCGCCGAACTGGGTCATCAAGATGAAAGACTCGGCACAGTGTGAGCTACGCGCAGACGGTGCGTCTTAACAACCACACGGACCAGAGCGTCCCCGCGCACGGCATTCCGGGACTGCTCTTGGTGGTGAACTGCGTGTCCGGGACCGGATGCAACAGACTGGTGGATGGGTATGCCGTCGCAGAAGCCCTAAGAGACTGGGTGATCGACAGCACAGACTTTGTCAGGTTTAGTGGTCAGGGTTTAGGGGTTTAGGGTTGAGGCTTAGGGCTTCAGGGGTTTGGGTTTATGGTACTGGCCCCAACATGATGCGGGCATACACACCCTGACAGATGACAGCGCTAAGGGACATGTCGACCTGCTTGTGAAATACTTACTTCAAGGGTGTGCACCCGAGCTCTCCGGAGGGTGGCAAGATGTCTCAGCACTTGGACAGTGTGAAGATTGGGGACTCCATTGACTTTCAAGGGACCCATCGGCGAGTTCGTCTACCAAGGCAAGGGTCAATGCCTTGTGAATGGCAAGCCGAGTCTCGTCGCTGAGATGTCAATGGTCGCTGGCGGCACCAGCATCACGCCGTGTTACAAGGTGCTGGCCGCAATTCTGCGAGATCCGGAGGACAAGACCATGGTGCGACTTCTGTTGGCCAAAAAGACACCCGATACGTAATATCCTTGCGCGAGATGTGCTTGAGGAGTTGACAACCAAACACCTTGATGGCTTCATGCTGAGCTTCACCGTCGACAGTCCCTTCCGCAGACGAGAATGTCAACCCCCTCTGATGAAAAGAACTACACCTCAGCGTGGAAAGGTCAATGTGGGCTTTGTGACTCCAGCCATGACCAAGCCTGTTTCCTGTCAGCGAGGCCACCGTGTGCTTGATGTGTGGGCCTCCGGTGATGAAAAGAAAAAGCTTGCATTACAGTCTTGCAAAGCATGGGCTACGTAGATTCCAACAGCTTCTCATTCTGAGGGCAGTGGCTCAGTAGGTGGGGCTCAAGGAGGCTCCAAGCCTGCTTCTAATTTCGGTTCCAATAAAAATGCGATGTTTTGTTGCAGGACGCGCCATAGTAACCTTGGCATGGAGTGCAAGGTTGCAGGCACACGAGCATCATGCTCGCCGATCGTGATGTCTCAAACCTCTCATGTAGTGGTGAGGGTGAGTGCGAGTCGGGGTGGTCTGGTTTCTTTTCAGTTATCGGGCGATGGATGAGCAGTCACTTTCTGCAGCTTGCCTGCCTTGCGCGAGTGTGAGAGTCGAAAGCCCTCGCCTGCATTGTCCGAGTTGCGAGACTCCAAAGCCCTGCACCACAAACCCGAAACCCAAACCCTACAGCCCACAACCACAACCCCCCCGCCCTTGCAATCCCCCACAAAAGCCCTCAACCCGAAATCAGGCCCTGAAGCAGAAGGAGCAGGAGCACAGCTCTTTGACCTCCAATCTCCAGCGCCAGCGTCAGGAGGCTTCTAGTCGGCTTGTGGATCTTCATTAAATTGGCTCATTGGGGGTGGTATAACCAGGCTTTTTCAACATATATTATGGGTTTCTTACATGTTGGCAGGCTAGGGTTTTGCAAGGTCTCTTGAGATTCGAAGGTTTTTTTTTGCGAGCATTCAGTTTTTGTGGCACGTTCAACTCTATTTGATGTTGTGATTGGATTCAGCGTTTGAGTTTATGTAAAGTTCAGTGCAGAGGTTAACGGTCGGGATTCTACCTAGAAGGTTGCACCACACTGTTACAGGCTCGTCTTCTCTTTCTATCCCAGGCAGGGTCAGTACGTCCTACACCCCGAACCTCAGCCATCGCTTCGGGTTCCCCGGCGTTCTTCTGGGATTCTCTTGCATTGATAAACAGGGAGCTGCAGGTTCACTTTATCAGTTACTGCGACTCGCACGGTGAATACTGTTCGCATGCAGATGGTATCCTGTTAGCTGTTACCTGTTACCATGTTGCGCAAGCAATTCTGAAAGTTTAAAAGAGGACTTGGAGCAAGTCCAAGCTGAGCTGGATCGGGCGCAGCACTTGGCGCAGGAGCTTTTGCACCAGGGCCTGCTCAGCTGACACTGGCTAAAATAGGTGCGTTTAAGTTGAAGTACAATCTATGCCCACGAAGCCCGGTTTCATTTTGGCAAAGTCAGTATCTCAAGCCGGATGCCTGAAGCCTTGCGTCCGCATGCGCGTGGAAGAAGAGTAAACATCTCTTACACCCTACAAAACCCAACACCCTGAACCCTAAACACCTGGGCACTTGCGCTGCCTTCTCGTTGAGCCCTGCAGCCCTGAGCTGCCCTGATTTTTTATGTGCAGCTGTGACATCTGAGCCTGCTATTTGGAGCCCTGTGTGATACTGGCTCTTGTACCGCGGGTTCATCAGACCCCTTTTCGACTGGTGCCAATCTTGGAGTCGTGTGAGCTGATTCCTGAATTAGGACTTGCTCGAGCACGTAACTGAAACTGGTTTTCCTCAGACTGTTCTGCCGACTTACCCTGCAATGCGGGCTCGTCCTAGCTATGTAGGAGGAAAAAAACACCTGAACCCCAACCCTCAAGCTGAAAACTTTGAACCCCTCAAGCCCCAAAGCACGCCCCTTCAAAAGTCGCAGGAGAAGCAGACTGAGCTTCTGCGCCAGGGTGAAAGTTTCGAGGCCCGCGTCCGGCAGCTGCAGGAGACGCTGCTCTGAGGCTCTGAGAGGTTCCTATGGGAGTTTTCCTTTTCATTTAGGCTTGGGGCTCCCTGGAACTTGAAGGGTCCGTTTAGGAGTTCTATTAAAGGGTTCGTACACATTTAAGGGTTCAGGGACTGTGTTGGAAGGCCTTTTTCCCTAAATGCGCTCAAACCGAAGACACACCTACACCCCCCCCTGCAAGCTCTAGCACTTTTCGAGCTTATTGTCCTGAGGTTCTGGGTTTGGGTTTTGTTGTGGTTTTGCTTTGGGGCTGACTCTGAAAGGTTCTGAGACGCAGTTAACCCTTCCCAACCATGGCGAGCAAGTTCCATGACTCAAAGCAAGGCACCTCAAACCCACAATCCTAAATCCCCCCAAACTGTAACGTTGTGGCGGGCGCTGGTCAGACACAGGCTTGGTTCTCAAAGATTAATTCACAGTTGAAAACAAGTTGAACAAGAGTTGATTCCAAGATTATCGAAGAACTATTCAGGACAACGTTTTAAACAGGTTGAGCAGAAAGTTGAGCTGAGGGAACCTGGCTGCAGGAGCAGCCGTGCAAAGAGTTGGCAAACCGACGAGAAAAAGTTGATGGATCCGGGAGGGCGGGGAGAGAGGTGGAGGAGACGGGAGCAGGAGGGAGGGGAGGAGACTGGAAGGGGGTGGGAAGGGAAACCCAGCTTTTCCCTAGAAGAAGTTGGAAAAAAGTTGCAACTGTCACGCAACCTTTGGCCGGCGAGCCCTAAAATTTAAATCGACCCACAAGGCCCTAAAGCTCCAACCAGCTCGAAATGCTAACGTCCTAACAGGCCCCTGTTCGCTCCCAATTTCCCCCCTTAAACTCCACGAAGCAAATCTTGGAGCCGATTCGAGGAGCAGCAGGCCGACCTCGAATCGCGACATGGCGACCTCCAGGAGAACTGTGGAGGGTTCGTAGTAAAGATGCTGAACAGCAGGATCCTTCTCAAAAGAACTCGCAAGTACTGTACGGTTCCCTGTTTCACCTAACTACTACTGCTGCTGCTGCTGCTGCTACTGCGACTACTACTACTAGTACTACTACTACTACTACTACCACCACCACCAACAACAACAACAAGAACAAGAACAAGAACAAGAACAAGAACAATAACAATAACAATAACAATAACAAGAACAACAATACCAAATACCAATACCAATACCAATACCAATACCAATACCAATACCAATACCAACAACAACAACAACAACTACTACTACTACTACTACTACTACGACTAACTACTACTGCCACTGCTACTGCTACTGCTCCTGCTCCTGCTGCTGCTGCTGCTGCTGCTGCTGCTGCTGCCACCACTGCCACCACGGTGACGATGTCGACAGCGACGACGATAACATGCTTGCCGTCGGCTTCTTTTATTTCGAAGCCAGGATGCATCCGACTCCTTCTCAAAGGGAAAAATATGACCTACCTACTAAGTCCTCCCAACTCTGCACCATATATACAAAGTCCCCGGGCCCCGCGACAAGGAGAGCCACAGCCGGCTCGCAAGCGAGCGCGAAGCCCTGGGCCGCGACTTCGATGGCTTCCGAGCTGAGGCTGCGGAGAAGCTTCGGGTACGTGAGGAGGAGCCGGCAATGTTGTATGGGCCAGGTTCGAGGGTTTTGTTGTTTAGCGGCACCCAGAAACAATGATGGATGTTCAGTCGGGCTTGGATTTTGGGCGGTGTTGAGGCGAGAATCCGGAATTGTGGGGAGAGAGACTTAGTGGCGAACACAAGATTCCATAAGTGAATATTCAGTGTGCAACTTTCAACACTGGAACACTGCAGCAGCCATTGCCGTGACCTGTGCCGAAGCAGAGTGCAGGAGTTGGCCAAGCAGCTGAAGGACAGGGAGACTGAGCAGCCGCTTTGCTGAGCAGGAGATTGTCGCTGGAACGGTTCTAGCTGTGGGCAGAGGGTTTGGAACATATCGGATCAGTTGCATGTTGCAGTCACACATTGGCTGTGATGGAGCATGGTATTATGCCTGGAAGTGCGTAGTCTGCCTGGAAGTCTTTGCTATCGGCATCCCCCAAACCTCAGAGTCCGACATCAGCCATAAATCAGCCAGACACAAGAACTAACCACCACATGATCCGGACGCCCTCTGAAAACCTGCAGCCCAGAGCTGAATCCATGCAGCCTTTTCATCGACAAATCCTAAGACCTGGACTCTAGCCAGAGCACCTAGTCCTCTAACCCCACACCAAACCCAGCACGAAACTGAAAGGCCTGCGACCTGCATTGACTTACCCTTCTGACTTCGTCAGGTCTGCTCAGGCCACGGACTTTGCTGCGCAGCAGGCGAAGCTTGAGCGGCAGCTTGGCAGTTTAGGACGTTGGGGTCTGCAGGGTTGCTAGTTCCAGGACCCTTTCAAGGCATCCGCAATAGAGGGACTTACGGCCTTCATAGCAGGCATTCAGGAATTAGGGTTTTATGGAGAGGGGGGGGTCCGGTGGCTGAGGGTTATGTTATACGGTTAAGGGTGCAGGGCTGAGGTTCTTTGAGGTTTGAGGGTTCGGTTCTGTAGGGCCAGGCGTAGACTTAGAAGGTGACACCACAGACTTGAAAGCTTGATGTGGGCTATGGGCTTTTGCATGCTGGATGCACAATGAGGTGGTTGTGTGGTTTTTGAGAGATTAGGAGCAAGAGGTGAGTGCCCTCCTTGCTATGTCCTCGGATCAGTTCAGGATTGAGTCTGGGATGTAGCTGAAAGTAAAGGAGCAGGAGTTCATGGCGTTTGTCGAAAGTTTTCAGTAATTTGTGTATTGTCGCATGTTGAAACCACTTTGTTCGTGACGCATTGACTTTTTGTTGGAAAGAAGCCCCACGAATGAAATTCGGTTTTACGATTTGTTGCCTGCACTGGACTTGAAGTTCCCAGGCAGCACGCTGACTTGCAGCAGCGCCACGAGCAGCTGAATGCAACTTGGTTGTTTCGTGATTAAGGCCATCGAGCGAGATGTTAACTGCGTTGTGCACAGGCAAGTACTTGTTGTGCTTACCCAGGCCATGAGAGGTAGTTAGTATCAGGCAGGCGCTAATCCTCTTGCCTGATCATTGGAGGAGTTTGGATTCAAAGCTTTTCGCAGACGGCGGAAGCCAAACGTCTACCTGCCAGGAAGAGCAGCCTCAACACCGAACCCGGACCCCAAGCAATGTCCAACACGGACGAAACTCTAGATCAAGAACCCTGAGTGAGGCCAAGAACAAGGATACCAGAATCAAGCTTCAGGGCTTTGGGAGCTAAGCCAAGCCGAGTTGCCAGCTTCATCTCCAAAGCGCCACACCTGTCAACCCATGGGCTTCAAGTTGAATCCGGCGAGCTTTGAAGCCCAAATAATCAGCCCAGGGCGAGCATTCCGTCGCCCTGGAGCAAAAGACCCGCCTGCAGGAGGCGTCGTTTTTGTTGGGGTTTGAGGACCAAAGGACTGTAGTCAAAGGCTTGAAGTGCCGTAAGTAGTTTTATTCCTGCGACCTTCAGGTGCATCTCTATTTTTTTCTGTGCCAACAACCATCTATGCACATCCACTTGCTATGCCTGCTGGCTTCGGGCTGTTCCCGTGAGCAGTCTGGGACTTTCGTAATCCCGGCTGTTTGCGGAGGAGGATTCTCCAGTTCAGTAGGCCAGTGACGAGACAAGTGAGGCAGCGTGTGTGTATACACACACATAATATATATATATGTATATATATACATATATATATACATGTATGTGTGTGTGTGTGTGTCTGCGTGTCTGTTTGTTTGTCTCTCTGTCTGTCTGCTCTGAGGGTGCGCGTGTCTCTGCCTGTGGTGTCTCTGCCCGTGGGTAGGTGGGTTGGTAGCGGGTTAGGTAGGTAGGTGTATAGGCGCGTGGGTATCGGAACACGACAAGCATGTGCTGCAAGCAAGAGAGGAGTTCGAAAGCTTTCGGGACGAGTCAGCGCGGAAGCTGCAAGCAAGCCAAGAGCAGCTGCTGAAGACGACCTCTGAGTTGCAGGACCCTTTCTATTTCGGGTTTGAAGAATGTCCATTTGGGAGGCTACTGATCGTAGCTCCACTGACACACGTCAGGGAATGGAATTTCTTGAGAATGCACTTGATCATGTAGCCTAATGTATGAGTGTCTCCTGCAGCCGTACGAAGCTCCCTCGAGCAGTAGACGGGTGGCAAGGCCCGAGTGGCAGCTGGTGTCTGAATCTGTAGGTTTCATGGTCAGCTCTCTAAGAATGGGTCGATCGACAAGTGAAGTGCAGGTTTCCCAACCCAAAGAACGCAACCCGTGAACCCGAAAGTTGCAAGAACTTCAAGCCCTGGACCCGGCCCCGAAACCTTCACGCAGGATGAGATGTCGCAGCAGCAGGAGGCGCAGCAAGCCGAGCAAGCTCGAGAACGAGAGCAATGGACTGCGGATCAGGCGTGCTCTCCAGATGCAGGTGTGAGATTTTCTTGCCTGTCAAAGATCTCGACCTAGCATAAACAGTGTTCTGGTGTCGAACCTAGTAATTAACATGGAGCTGGTAGGATGCTCTGGCTTGTGTGGCCCCGCAAGACATTGTTTCGATTTTTCTTTAGGCCTCCGTGTGAAACGATCTAAACCCTCTAATGTAATGTTTTCTGTTTTCTGACTCAGAAAACCTGATCTCGATATGCCCTCTTGTCACACCGGACAGGACAAACTGCGGCAAAGCCTGGCTGAGGAGTGCGAGCGCCACACGCCTTTGTTACTAGTAGTAGAAGGTACCACTAGTAATCATCTTAGTATTGTTCTTATTTAATTCCAACACTGGTATTCTTTATTATCATTATTTTTCTGTCAGCATGTTTATTGAAATTTGTATAAGTACTACAAATACTAGTCTGATTCTGTTGATGCTACGCGGCTGCACCCATCGTTACTATTATGTTCTTCGTCATTATTCTCGGTTTTCTCCCAGTCGCTTCACGGCTCTATGAGGGGCGTTCTTTTAAGGCTCTATGCTTTCAGGATGCACGGGGTTGCTTTTTTTTGGGGGGAGACGCCCTTGGATCCTACAATTTAGTGTCAAAGTAATGGGGACGGGTCTGGGGCCTCAGCGCTTTGACTGCTAGGGGTTGCTAGTTGCCTCGGATCACAAGGGGTAAGTTTCAGCACTGCTACGACATGGACAGGCACAACACAATTCGGATGCTAGATTTGCTTAACGTGCAGGTTCAAAGATGTTTTCATTTTCAAGAAGTAGCCGGAAGCTTTTGCCAAATCTTTTTATTGGCTGCGCGAAGATACGCTCTTGCGTGGTTGTGCATGCGCCATACGTGTAAGGCTCCTAAACTGAGCCCGAAATCCCAGGCAAGCAGCAGCTGGAGAAAACCAACGCAGAGCTCGAACAGAGGCGAGGCTTTGGTGTAGCATGCTGTGGGCACGAGGTTTGGGCTTGGCTGCCGTAGTAAAAGCCTGACTATTTGCTAAGATGGTTCATTCTAATCGTTAAGGGCCACTAGGGTGGTTTGGTGTTCCGGCTTGTCAAGATATAAGCTCCAACTACGACGACTACTAATACTATAGGGCTACTACTATTAGTAGTTGTTTTTGTTATTGCTGGTTCCTGATTTTTTAATTATTACTTCTATTTTTACTACTAGCATTATCATTACTATTGCTGCTGTGTTTTTGTGAAAGCCGAATCCTGTCCTTGTGCAGGGTCGCCGACCTCGGCCGTGACAAGGCAAAGCTGAGCTCCGAAATCGAGGACGACGGACTTCACCCTGGCAGTAGTAGTGCAAATAACAACAGTTGTAATAGTCATAGTAGTGATAATAAACGAGTCATAGTAAGATAAACACAATTCTAGCAGCAGTAGTAGTAGTAGTAGTAGAAGTAGTAGTAGTAGTAGTAGTAGTAGTAGTCGTAGTCGTAGTAGTAGTAGTAGTAGTAGTAGTAGAAGTAGTAGTAGTAGTAGTAGACGATAATGACGACGGTAGTAGTAGCCACAAAAGCTTTTTAGCATTCCTAACTGCCCCAACGACGCGAATCACCTTACACTCCCTGAAACTAAATACTACGGTATGCATATCTATAGGTTCTATAGGCCCTACAAGCCAAACGCCTTCCGTCGGCGCCCCAGACACCTCAGTTCCTCAGGACGTCCTGAACAAATCCTCTGAACTCCGGGTCGGCGCTGAGCAGCGCCATGAGCAGATGGCGGAAGCTCACCGAGGCGGCCTTTGTTCTGACTGTCGGCAGAGTTCGGTTTAGCTTTTTGGCGGCGATCCAGGATGCGCCGTAGGTTCTTCCTAATCGGTGAAAATATTCCGAGTGTCCGAGCCAGGATGCCTGAGCTCGGCTTGCACTGAAACCGTAAATGCGATTTGGGCCGAATTGTGGTGGAACTCTCTTCGCTAAGGCATGGAAGGCCCCAAACTCTGTTTGGTAGCTTGTCGTTCGGTTACTGCAAACTTCATAACACATGGCTGAACTCGGGTTGGGTACCAGGATCGCAGAACCCCGCAATCCCTCTCACAACAAATTCGAAGCTGAAGCCACAGGCGTTGTCACAGGGTTGCAGAACGACCTGGAGCTCGAGCGGCAGCAGCGATTAAAGGCCAGCCTTAGTGTCATGAAGCATTGGGGCGAGCTGGGCAGGAAGGGCAGCAGCCGAGTCCCTTGTGAAGAAGGTGACATGAAGCATGAAGATGGTGGCTTTGATCCAGGGTCGGTTTACGGACCGCCGACAATGCTGTGAAAGCCGGGGTGGGGCTGGACCCTGGAATCGCGGCCCTTTTCTCAGGATTGCAGGGGGGCAAAGGAAGGTCCATCTTCATGTATGAAAGAATAGAGAGCTTCTACCCTGTAATTAGAAAGGTACACCCTTGCTTCACTTTGGACTGATGGTACATGCTCTTTCCCGGGGCGTGCACAGGTCGAAGAAGAAAGGGCAGCCTTGGAGGAGGTGCAGCAGGGCAATCCTTGAAGGTATCGCATAAGAAGCCTTGAAGACATTCACCTTTGCTATAGTAGTGGCACAAAGGAATGAAGAGGCCGGACAGAAGAAGGCAAAGAAGACAATCGTCGTTGTCATTGCCAGCAGCGCCAATATGTTGAGACGCCGCCTTGTTCGGCCATCCGGGAGCATGCAACAATTGTGCTAGGCACGAAAGTCTGCTTCCCAAGGGCAGTAGTTTTATCTGGACAAGCATTTCATGGGTGATGCTGCCCGCGGAGGCCTTGCGAGCCCAGAGGGACAAAGTTACGCTCCTCGAGGAGAAGGTGTCGACTCCGGAACAACAGCAGCCATTGCTGCTCCTTCCCAGTAGCAGCGTTGTTGGTACACATCGCTGCTGCCTCGTCGTCGTCGTAGTAGCAGAAGTAGAAGTAGTCGTCATCGTAGCCACAGCAGCAGCAGGAGGAGTAGTAGTAGTAGTAGTAGTCGTAGTAGTCGTAGTAGTAGTAGTAGTAGTAGTAGGAGAAGTAGAAGTATAAGTTGTCGTCGTCGGAGTCGGAGTCGGATTCGGAGTGGTTCGTAGTAGCAGTAGTAGTAGTAGTAGTAGCAGCAGCAGGAGTAGTAGTAGTAGTAGTAGTAGTAGTAGGTGGTAGTAGGTAGTGAGTAGTAAGTAGTAAGTAGTAAGTAGTAAGGAGTAAGTAGTAAGTAGTAAGTAGTAACTAGTAAGTAGTACGTAGTACGTAGTACGTAGTAAGTAGTAAGTAGTAAGTAGTAAGTAGTAAGTAGTAAGTAGTAGTAAGTAGTAGTAAGTAGAAGTAGTAGCAGTAGTAGCAGCAGTAGTAGTAGTAGTAGTAGCAGCAGCAGCAGCAGGAGTAGTAGTAGTGGTGGTAGTAGTAGTATTAGTAGTAGTAGTAGTAGTAGTAGTAGTAGACTTAG